TGATTGATTTCTTTGCTTCTCTATCTTTTTTCCATCGCTCACGCTCTTTCCTGAGGTATTCTTCTCTTCTCTGTGAATCTGCATTTCTTCTCACCCTGTATTCTCTTTGCCTCTCTGCATTTGATTTAGCCATCAGATATCTGAAAATAATGTATGAAATAACATTTAGAGAAAAGGGACTAACTTGCTTAACAACAGAAAAAACTTCAACCCCGTAACAATAATTCAACCCCGTAACAGTGTTTTTTGTTATGGGGATGAATGTTACAGGGTTGAAGATTAAAGCCAAAAGTAGTCATAAGTCCACATTAGCTAGCAGTATGGTGTAGCTTATGGCATGTGGAAAACAAGAAATTCAAGTATTTTTCAAAGATAATTGTTTTATTTTTCCCAAACAATATTAAATATCATTTATACATGTAACAGTGTTGAAAAGTTGAGGTTGACGATGCAAATTTATTGATAAAAACGATGAAATGTAGGTGAGAAAGTAAGCTTTACACTTACCTCTCTTCACAGTTTGAGTAGGAAAAGAGTTGAGGGATGTCACTTCCTGTGTGTGGTTGAAGTTGGACTGAACCAATATTTTAAAAAAGGGAACATTGGTATGCCGTTACAGGGTTGAACAAAAACTGAGGGACATGATCAAATAGTGCTATTTTGTCAATAATTTGTTTATTTTTCTCATATTTCTTTTATTCAGCTTTGAGTAAACATGCAAATAATAATTTTAGCAGAAAAAAATTAGATTATTCTAGCTATTTTATTTGTTTTACATTCAGTGAAAAAGTACTTTAGGTGCGAGGGGACATGCTCATCTCACTTACCTCTGATCTTCTGCAGCCCATAAAATCTTTAAAAATTTAAATTTTAGGATATAGATGTGTGTTATAAAGCAGAGACACGTGGATCTTTCCATTTGTTCTTTTTAAATTCTCTTTATTGTTTACCTTATATGAAAATCTTTGAGGTAAACCTTTGGGGACACAAAGTGCACCGAATTCAGAGAATCACACTAAACTGCTCGCAGATTTGTCAGTAAATTATTGTGAAACTCCATTGGAAGTGTAGGTGTGGTCAACATGGCTTTCGAAACCAAAATCAGGACATGATTTTGGCTTCCCTTTTGCACTTCTTCCATTAATATCATATTTCCAGAGTACATAAAGTAACTTTCTCAAGAGTTAACATCTCATGACATCTCTGACAGTTATTATGGACTTTATGGCTGCTTCTTTGACTATCATTTTCCCAGAATGACCTTTTCCCAGAATATGATGCACATTCTCTTACCGTTTAAGTAAATATTGGTTTATAGTTGTGTTGTACTCTTTCCAGTCTTGGAATATTAAGAGAGATTTTTTTAAATCTTGGGTCAATGTTATATTATTTAAGCATGTTTTAAAGTTCTCAACTTGACTTTTGTTTTTTTGTTTTTTGTTTTTTACATTTGATCAGCATGTTTACATTTTAGCACTGCTGCACTTTAGAAATGGAAATGTCTTGAGAGCTATACTGAGGAAAATTTCTTTTTGTATAAACTCTGTCTACAAACTGACAATGAAGTCTGTCTAAGTAAGATCTTCAGTTGGTGGTAGCCTTTTAGGGGACAAGACAACATTACAGATAACGTTTTTATTCTGATTAGAGAAATTTTCTATTCACCATCAAAGAGCGGTAAAGTATTTAGGGTTTCATCTGGGATTCCTCATGTTCCCAGAAATGATGACTGGAAATATACATAATATTATAATAATTCATATTACAGCACTGAAAAAAAGAAAATCTCTATGGAATACAGTACAATATTGCACAATGGGCTTAATTGTGAGTTTACTCTCTGATTTAGACTTAGACCTAGGCATATTGTCATCTTGTCTACACAGAGTGAAACATGACATTTCCATTTCTTAAAGTGCAGCACTGATCAAATGTGTGGGAGAAAAAAAAACATGGTGCAAAAAAAAATGTATTGATATGGAAGTTCGGAGCATTAAATATATATGCTGCAAATATGCAGTGTTTTGGTTTGGTGTTATCAGTGTGATGCAGAGTCTGTGACATGATTTAGAGTTTTCTCAACAGTTCTCTCTCTGATGGTGGTGGGGAAAAAGCTGCTGCTGAATCGGCTGTAACTGCATCAGATGCTGCAAAGCCTCATCCCAGAGGGCAGCAGGGAGAACAGTCCATGATGGGGGTGTAAGGGGTCATCGATA